TCTCTGACCTTGAAAGTGCTTAGTGCCGTTTTTCTTATTGGGGAAATTGAAAAACAAGCAAAGAGAGCTTCCATAAAGTGGTCTGTGAGTATAGAACTCCACGATCTTATAATTTACAATTGTAGGGTAGCTCAAATCATAATTCATTTTTACATGTTTTTATGGATTCATATCAAAAATCCCACAGTTGTTCAGGTTCACTGTGCTACTTTTCCATTGGGGGTCTGATGACTTGGTGGCCTCTCCTGCTTGTCTACATAGCGATAAGTTTAATGCCATCCTGTGGAACATTCCAGGCAAAGAAATACAATCTCCTCAGAAACAAGTATGCAGGTGGTGGACACTCTACCAGAAAAGTTACACTGTGCTCTTTTTTGTCTGGAAAAATTGCCTTGTCATCTCGCTGTCACAACTATACTCCCGTCTTAACACTATCCTTAACCTTACTGAAACAATATCTAAAATGTGAGACTTGTAGTAGGCCCCATGAGTAAAACAGGTCATCATAAGTAACTGTCTGAGGCCCCACATGACACATATACACACACTCACATAGACATACACTGGCCGCTCGTCTCTGTATCAACCAGTGGATTAGTCCGTGGTAATTCGGCTCTAACGCTATAATCAATTAGTCCAGAGCAGTTCTGTGCAGCTGCTTCCTCTCCTCCACCTCAAGTCCAATCACTCCACTCTTCTCGTCCTCTCACTCTCCTCCTGATCTAATTGTTTCTTCTCTTCTATGTGCGGCAAAACCTTATTAGTTCTCTCCATTTCTTTGGCAACTTTGAGTCTCAACTTTCTTTTCTTTTTTCTTTGAAACTTTATTCTCGGGTTGTTAAACCTTTTCACTATACTTTACATACCACATTAATCCTGTAATGGCTCTTTGGCATGTTGGGATGCACTGATCTGATACCAGTATTGGATATCAGTGCCAGTACTGAAAAATTTGCTGGATCGGATATCGGCTTTGAAATATCAGTTCAGCAGATACTGTATCTTGGGTGGCCAGAGTTGTAGTAAGTACCATCTGAATAACACATTTGGATCAGTTTAGTATTCATTTTTGCTGTCTTCAGTTTCTACATTGGCTTTGGTTAATAACGGGATCAGCACTTCGGTATTTGAAAGCTGGATAGGTGCATCCCTATTGTCATGCATATCCAATACTGAAGGACTTGAGTCACTCCCATATGGAAAAGGTATAGACAAATCGTACACCATTTTAACATGTTTCATATGAATCCTAAAAGATTTGTATATGACAGTGAAAACACTTACAAGATCTTTGGTAAATATGTGCAGCATGAAACATATAAAACTTTGTAACCTGCAAGGCCTGTATATGACACTAATCCCACATACAATATCCTTACAAGTATTGGACAAAGGTCATTTATTTCATAAAAAAATAAGTGAAATGATGATTGTTTCCTTAAACTTGATTGCTGTGCTGTGTGTGTATGAGAGTGAGAATGTTTACAGTGTGTGTTTGTGTGTGTGTGTTCGTGTGTGGGGGTGTGCGTGTGTGGGGGTGTGTTGGGCAGCATGGGGGTAAACACAGTAATGCAAATATTGCATTACAACCTTAAAAAACATATTCCACTGATATCACGGTGAACATACATGCTATAAAAATATTTTTACTCTGCAAAATCCTAATTGTTATGAAGGTCTATATTGACTTGTAATATTCCAAAAAGCAGCTATACACTTATGTTTTTTTCACATGCCTCTACTGACAAGAGGACATATCAGTCACAAATACCAAGGTCTTGTAATTGTCCTCAATATCTGCTATTGTTGCTTCTGCAATCAGCAGATTGTTAGCTCAATTGGTAAGTCACTGGCCTTCCACATGGTAGACCTGGGTTCACATCCCCCTTCAGACTCTGATAGTTTTTTCTGCAACATATAATTAAAGAATACAAACATTACATGGAACATACAAAGAAAATGGAGTTTATCATGCACAATACCTTTAAATGTCATGCACTTTATCTTTACTAGTTTTTCATAATATACTTGTATTTAAAAAATGCAAAAGGGGCCACTTTCAGGAGTAAACCACACATGGCACATATAAACCTTATATAAAGATTTACTACAAAGACAGTGGTAAATTCTTATATTTTTTTCCCATTTTTTTTTTTCCATATGGGCTATTTTTAGGACTTGAGACTTGACTTGATAAAATGTACTAAGACTTGGGACTCGACTTGGACTTGAAGGTCATTGACTTGGGACTTGACTCGAACTTGAGGCCTGTGACTTGAGAAGAGTTGAGAAGGACTTTTAAATCTGAACACTTTCTATTCTGACTGTAATAATTCACTCTAAGATCTTGTCGAGACATTTAAAAAGGAAAAATTTGCATTTCTACAACTCTTAAATACTCTGTAAATACTCATATATAAATACACTATGACGTTTTAAGTACAATTTAGTTTAAACTTAATATACATTGCAAAAATATGTTTAAAGACCCTAAATTACTTGAAGCTCAAAGCAGACGACTTGAACTTGGACTTATGACCAGTGACTCGAGACTCGACTTGAACTTGCTTATATTTTGACTTGGGACTTGACTTGGACTTCAGGTCAAAGACTTGAGACTTACTTGAGACTTGCAAAACAATGATTTGGTCCCACCTCTGGTAGTAACATGCCTGTATATTCTTAAAAGTGCACAATGTAACATTTCTAATCGGGGGAGTATGGCATTAAATATATCTATTTTACAATTTGATGTGAATTGCCCTTCAAGAAAACAGGCAGATACATAAGAGGGCCGACGCAATTCAATAAAGTTCTCCACTCCAAACTATCTGTAACCTAAGAGAAAATTAAAACTGCCGTTGTTATCTACATAAAGCGCGGCGCATATGAACACGGTGGGACAATTTAATATTTCGCCGACTGCATTGTCGTTTAACACAATCCCAACTTCCTTCACCCTTGTCTCATTCTTCCGGAGCCCATTCACAGATCCCGCCGCCCTAATCTCCACCACGACATTATGTAACGCTCCAGAAGTCATTTCCCTGCATTCACGCTAATCTCCGCTCCATCACACAGCACAGCCTATTCATTCTGCAGAGTCACCAAAAAGAACAGAGCTGACTCACTGGCTCCCGCGCTCGCTCAAGTAAATATGTGGTACGTCACTGTTGTCACCTCCTCCTCCGTCCCATTTGTCTGTGCAGTGGAGCGGTGATAAGGCTTGATAAGGACAGGAGCGCGCCTGGGGGAGATAAGGGCTTTGCCACAGCCACGCTCGCGCCCCAAACCTCAGACGGGGCGTGTATTTACCATCTGTCTGCTCCTGCCATTTCAAATTCACTTCCTTTCACCTTTTATTTCTTTGTCGTCTTGAGAAAGCTTGTCTCTGCTGCTCATTTCATAAACATGGAGCTTTTTGGGTTTGTATCTGAACCTGAAGGATTCTTAGACATTCTGACGTTCAATCTGAAAGTTCTGTACAATGGAATGTATTTTAGATGTGATCGTGCTTACAGATGAGAAATAGTTTGCAAAGTGTGTAAGCAAATAGCTCTCTGTACTCAAAAACAAAGGTGTGTCCAGATTTTTTTTTTCATTGGTTTGGCCCATTAGCCATGTCAGGGAGGGGAGCACCAGGCTGTTCCAGTGAAATTTGACTTTTTATACATAATTTTAGGGGGGCTTTTGGTGCTTTCCCTTTGCAGGTTTAGTGATAAAAATGAAACTAAATTGCACTTGGTATTGACATCCAATCTAAAAGTGCTTCGGGGTTTTGCGGGACCTGGGATGGAGAGTCATAAAAGTCCTATATTAAACAAAATTACTCTTGTGATTTTAGTGAAGGTATATGGAGTTAGAAACAAAGTGGCGCACTATCTACACTACGGTATTATTACATGACATCACAAGGTGGAACAGAGTGTTTTCTGCTTGGAAGAAACAGCCTAAGAATTTGTGTGTTAAGCATGTGTGAATGAAGCAAAACTAAACATTATAACATCAGAGAATAGTGTAATATGGACCCTTTATGTAGGAAACATAGTGGTAAAAAGTTCACAGTCATAAAACTGTCCCACCATATTGTAGTAAGCTTTGCAAAATCTCTACCAGATATCAGCATTTGGTTTTCTATAGTTATACTTCACTGAATCGCTCCCAAGCCCATCGAAATTGATAAAGTGAGTTGGTTTCACAAAAGCTAAATGTTTGTTGGTTTTTGAGGGGCTCAGTAGGAGAGAATTTTAGATTTCTATTTTACAGTGGTGTTTCTGAGTTGTTTTTTGAAAGTTTCTTCCATTCTGTGTGAAAGTGCAGTACTGACTTTTACTTAACCGAGTCAAGGTTAGGCAAAAGCTGTTATGTCTGAAGTTTTCTCAAATCTAACACAATCCAAACTTCAAAACACCCAAACTTCTCTGAACTTTCCACACAAGCAAAATTTTGGTCTGAATCCAGGTATTTGAATGCAAAATGCTTGAGTTTGTCCTGTGCTCTTAAGTTGTTTCTGAATCTACAAAAGCACGTTGTTACCCCTGTTCCCTCTACCTCCTTTTCGGGGGGATTTCACTCCTTTCCTCTCCTTCCAAAAAGCAGCACTTGGCACGGTTTTGAAATGTAAATAAAGTTTTGTTGTTTCCTGAGCCGTAGCCTCCTCCAGCCCTGTTTATCAGGCAGACTTCAAAGTGCCACGCTGACATGTGGCTCTATCTTTGGGCTGCTCTGTGAAATAGGGTCACGGGCGGCGCTTGGCTCTCACAAAAAACTTCTCCCTTTCATCTAAGAACCTAGTGGGTGAGGGGGAACTAAAGAGGGCCATGCCAGGCAGCCAGGGGTGCCAGTGTGGGAGTGTGTACGTGGGCGGACATTTTGTTTTTGTGCGCTTTCTCCTCTGGTCACTCTTGCTAGCAGGTAGTCTCATAGCTTGTGTTACATCATCAGATTTTTTGATTATTATTCACAAAACTTTTTCTCAACTTCTTTGTGTTTCTGTCTAGCTGTGGTGCCAGTCCGAGAAGACATTGCCGTGTCGTGCTGAGCCGGGGGCCACCTCAACTTTAACTGGACTAAAGACTAAAAACATAAGAAGAAAACAGGAAGTCAAAACTTTTAGGAGCCAGTAAACAGCAAGTTGTCAGACTTTGGAGAGTGGATAACAAGACAAACTGTACAGCTGCAAGTTCAAGTTCGAGGTCAAACTTGTAGACCACTTCAAATCGACGTTTTTAAACTATCAAAGCCTGGAAAAACTCCCAACAAGCTGCTTATGCTTTGGTTGCCTTCCTGCATTGTTTTAGCCATCATTTTATATCAGTAGTCCAAGAAATAATAAATAGTACTAAAGCATCTGGACCATCTGGACAGCAGCAAGGTCAGAAGCCAAACTTATGGACCCATGGATTAATGATTGAATGCCTTCCTGCGTAGTTTTTAGCCACCACTTTCTATCATTTAAAGTAGTGTCAAGCCGGATGGAATCGTGAATGATCTGTACAGCTGCAAGGTCGAGTCGAAAGTCAAAACCTATGGACCACTGCTGCTTGAAATGAAATCGACAAGCTGTTAGTACTCCTCTATTGCCTTCCCAAGTCGACCAATCAGAAGTCCCTCTGTTTCTGCGTATTGCACTATTGAATGAACTGAACTGCAGCAAGGTCAAACCAAAAGTTAAAACTGAGGACTACAATTTCAAAACACACTTTTGATGCCTTTCGAGTACTGTTTGTGTTGAATGTAAATGATTCAACCTAATTGAAAAGATCAGCTTGTCTACATATTACCGGATTTTTTTTTTTTTTTGTAATTGACAAACAGTTCTGATGAAAAGTCTGAAAAAAGTGAAATAGCTTCATGTTTTAAAACTGCTAGTTTTTGCCAACTGCTTCCTGGCTTTTTCATAAACTATTTGAAAATAACTCAGCCAATCAATCAACCATTCCAGTGTTCCAGTCAGTCTTACAGTACACTTCACTTTCTTTTCTCCACCCGTTCCTCCTTATCTCCACGTGGACTGTTGATGTGTAGCGATGGCCGTGGGACAGAAAGATGCAGTCTGGTCCACTCAAACTCCCTCCAGGCCCCCTCACACCCCCATTGCCTCTCGGACCGGCTGAACTCCCAGCATCCTTTGCAGCATCGGCAGCAGAAGCAGAAGGCTTGGAGCGGGACAGGGCAGTATGCAGGAGACTGACATACCGGCCACGAATGCCTTCACAGGTAAAACACGCATACAAGTACAATATTTGGTCTTATTTAATTGAACATTTGAATTGCTGGTATTTATACAAATTGATGACTTGAAAACTGTATACTTGACATTCAAGTACTTCAAGTCATACTTCAAGTTCAGGTTAATGCCTTTTACTTCATGCAGTGTATTGTAAAAACAGCTATAGTATTTGTAGGGAAAAACATACGAAAACCTACACATTTTAAAGGGGACAGCTAGGGACACAATTTTTGTCTGATTAGGTGTGATGTTGGATGAGAACCATGTGGGGTAGTCAGACACAGTTGTTTTGACATGGTTCTCATCTGTCATGGTTCAACAAGTTAGCAAAGTGAAACAGTAGGCAGAGCTTACAGTTCAAACTAAACAGGCTCTTCACTCATGGTTCAAAATAGAGTACAGCATCTTCACTCAATACAGAAATTACTTATTGAACAACAAGCCGTAAAAAGTGAATCGTACTGAATTTGGTAAATAGTAAATATTTGGGCGACATGTTGGTTTGTCAGCAGTCAGTCATTCAAATCAAACCATTTTCGTCACCTTCTCTGAACATTTAACTGTGTCCCTCTCAAACTATATTTTTATGTGTCTCTTTACTGTTGTGTCAATCATCTTGTTTACACTTCAGCTTATTAGGCTTGTTAAATTCTACTGCAGGACACACAGTGAGGTCATTTACTGCCAATCCCACAATGCACTGGGCCGTGTTTACTAGATGTTAGATGATAGTTGAGGTGGCACAACAGTAAAATCTCAATGTGCTACTTTATTTGATGCGATAAACCAAATGACAGTAGTAAACAGTTGAATGGGATGGGGACTTCCAATGGTCTTTTGAAATGTATTTTCTATTGTAGATTTCCATTTTAGATACTTGTATGATTGTTCTGTTAGTTTGAGTTGGTACTGGTTTTAATATTTGATACATTGGCAATTATTTGTTTGGTTTGTTCCACACTCTACAAGATGTTCGGATTTGCAAAATTTAAATGTGCATAAACAACATTTAGACTTTTTAAATAATCAAATTAACTAATGAAATAACAAACTGTTTATTAACTGGTACTGGTACTTAAAGGGCCTATATTACACTATTTTTTTGTATGTTATAATGTTGTTTCCTCATCACAAACATACCTGGAGTTGTATTTTGTTTTACGCACACATGTTTAACACACAATCTCTGCATATTTAGACTGTATTCTTTGCTCAAACAGAAAACACGCTTTTCCGCTTTTTGACATCATGTTGTAGTAGAGGAAGTGCTCCACTGTGTCTTAAAATCCACAACACTTTCCCTAGAATAATTTGGATAATTTGATTTAATACCATAGCCATAATTAAGTATGTAGTTTCAGTTCTAATGAAGATAAAATATGAGAGTCTACAACAATTTACACATGCATAAACACAGTCGTTTTTTGCAATACATATTATCATAACATTGCTAACAATAGATGCTGAGGATCTCAATATTATAAAGGTATTCAGTATCAAATGGGAATTTAAGACACCACTAATCTCTATTATATTTTGGGATTAGTTAAATGTGTCAGGACTGATCTCATTGTAATGTTCACAAACACTCCGATAGCCCTCTAAGTACAGTAACCTTTAATAATTGCTGACTTGTCTATACTCTTTGTGTCTTGACATTTATGAGACTGTCGTGCTCTGGTTTGGGGTGAAAAGTTCAATCTAACGCGACAGAAATGTATTCGTCAGTGAAAGTAACACCGTTCATAAAGCATTAGCCCCGGTGGACTGCAGATTAACTGTCTTATAATCGCTTGCTAATTATGATGGCTGTAATTGAAGTTGTATAGTCCAAGCAGCTCTTTCTTGGGGGATTTGCGGCGATTCTTTGTGCGAGTGAACAATGAGCAAAGCTGTGAGTGGCCAGTGGTGCCTTTAGTTAGCCCTTGAGATTTAATCTGGTTTAGAGCAGTGGTTTTGAGAGCAGAGTGTTAGCGCCACTATAGGTGAGGCCAATCAAAGTCCATTCACAGATATAATGAAACCAGCCGAGACGGCAGAATCACACACGCTTCCACCAATAAGAGCTCAGTGTTATCTGCAGCTTAACGTTTATTTCTAGGTACATTTATTCTAGTATTTAAAGGGTTAGTAATGTGATATAGTTTCTTTAAAATAAAGTTTATACAGATTATTCAGATTAGGGCTGTGTGCAGTTCATTTAATTTTAAATGAGATTCAGTAATTTCCTATTGTCAGCGGTAGGTTTGGGTCTTGAATGGAGCCACAGCCAATCCTCTGTCAAAAAGCAGGTAGTTTGGAGGAGAGTTCAGACTTTGGAGGAATAAGTTTGACTATTTTGTATGGTAAAATCTGTATTGTTTATATTGTTTTGTTAGAAATAAACAAACAGATAAAGAAAGATGGAATGGAAAATAAAATAGAAATACAATTAATACAAGGAAAAAGAAAGTTTAAATATTTCACTTTTAATTGTTTGCAAATTCTCTTATTAATTTTTAAACTATTCACTTAGTGGACATCAACTTGTCATAGTATAGAATTAAAAGTTTTAAAAGTCACTTGAGAGCATATCTATTATTTTTGACATTTTGAGCACTAGTTTTACCTGCTTCTCAACTGGTGCAAGAAAAACAAAACACTGCAGAGTGTTATCAATATTTATAAAACAACAAACAAACCAAAAATGGCAAACATGCACAAACATAAAGTCTAGTGTGTAGATGAAACTTTGAATGGCTAACATGACAGCTTCTCTCAGCTCAGTCAACACATCTCCGTCCTATCGCTCAAATCACAGCTGAACAAAGTACATTTGGTAAATTTAAACTCACAAAACACCATTGTGCACGGACTTCACAGATGCTGTCACATTTTTCAGTCTCTCACCAAAGCGTTTTATGTTCAAGAGCTGCATTGTGTGGTCCTGTCAAAGCATTGCACTGATATGGTGCTCAGGCTGTCCCTGGTTTGAAGAGTCATGTGCTCGTATTGTTCTCTAGTGGTTTTCTAGGGTTAGTGTCACAATCAATAGAATCTATATAAATGATTCATACACTTGAAACATATGGGTCTATCTCATTTGACAAAAAGAACATCTAAGTGCAGTAATATTTGTTATGGATGTTTAAGAGGCAGGGATATGGCTGCAAATAAGTTGTTGTTTTAACTAATAGTGTGTGTTTTCAATGTATAAACCACTGACTATAAAGAAGTGGCGTCTGTCATCACCCATAGCGCTCGGCTCCAGTTAAATGAAGCTCACAATGGATACAATGTTATAGGAGTGAATCTGGAGCCAGTTTTGGACAAAATAGCAAAATAAAAACATCAGTATCATGTAGAGTGGGTTAATATAAACATTTAAGACCAAAATAACATGGCTCATTGCAGCAGTTACAGAGAGGGGCAGCAATTTTTCACTGTAAAGACAATTGGGAACAGAGTTGATGGAGCCGGAAACGCACCACGTTCACTTCCTATTTGCAGCGCGGTGGCTTGTGGGTTAGCTATGTCCATTTATATATCTGTGTATGGTGGACAATTTAAAAAGCATGACACTGTGAGAAGTAGCATTTAACATTTAGTCTGTATGTGCACTGCGTAACTTTTCTGGTTGGTCTGTCTCCGTGGCGATATCATGGCATTAAATTAATCTATTTTGCATTCATTCAATTCAAGGCTGTAACGTGGTCTGGAGGCACCACTTTCTATCTCCATCAAAATAAATATTGTTGAATGCCATAATGTGGAATCTCCACGGAGACAGGCAGGTGACTAACTTTCGACCAGAAAAGTAGTGTACCTTTAAAAGTATGATCAGCTAGAATTGATTTTAGTGCTATTGTATTTCAACAAGGGAAGTTTACCCATGAATATGATACATCGCTTGGGACAGTCCTTACTAATGCTGGTTCTATACTGGTAAATTTCTCATAGGCACACCTCTCGCTTAGCTGTCTCTAAGGTGGAATTAGTTGAAATACATTTTCTGAACAAAAAACTTAAACTAATTATAAGATTTTGTACAGTTTAATGAATAAAGTTACGAGTAAAATGCCAGTCTTGAATGTAAAGCCAAGTCTGCAAGTTAACCTGGCCTGTGTCTAGACAGAGCAGACTGAATTGCAAGGTTTAAAAGTAAGATCTTAAATAGAAGTCTGAAATAGCCTAGTCTGTCTGCACATTCTGTAGTCCACGCACACCACGAGTCTTTGGTCTCCGAGTCGTCAGTGTAAAATCAGTGCGGTATTTTCCATCACATTTGCACAGGGCTCTCTCCTCCGACCCAGCCGTGAAGGTGACTGCAGACTCATTTTTAGCGCTCTCTCTCATGTCACCCTCCTTGAAGTCACACGGCCATTTTGCTAACATTTTTCTGCTCTTTGATTGCCCCCTGCAGTGATGTTTCCATTGAGACAGTTAAGCAAAGCACTCAATGATCGTGGCTCCTTTGTGCGCTGATGGTTTGTCAAAGCTTGGACATGAATCTTACAGACAGACATCTCACTCTGTAGCAAACGCTGGACTACAGACTGAGTGACTAGCAGTTGACAGGTTGACTTATAACTGGGCCGTGCTCCGTTGTTCCCCACCAGTTAATTAAAGTGAACTTAGAGTCTATGGGGCGGCCATGCTGCGTGTCTGAATGCTACAGTTAAGAATATGATTAATGTACTGACTTAGACACACACATGAGTGAATATCACATGTTCAAGTGGCAGGAAAGATTTTTTGATTAAATTCTAGTGACCTCATTAATACTTTTTACCAAGTTTAGAACAGCTAACTTTCTCTCAAAGCGGGATCCTAGTTTGTGAATGTTCACAGACAGTGGCAATGAAAAATGATTTGATATAGTGTGTGTTTATGGTTAAATTTGTGGTTCATATAGCGTTATATCTGGATTGTCAACACTTAAAGGGGCAGTTCAGAATTTTGGACATAGGGCCTCATTTTCTAGTGAGCCAGAGTGTTGGAGATACTT